ATATTCTTCGCTAAAATACGCGTTATTTGCATTTTGAAACATTAAAATCCTCCAATCCGTTCAAAAGTTATGATGTTTTAAAGATATGCATTAAATTTCAGGGAAAAATGTCAAGTATGGTCAGGCATTATATTTTAGGTAATGAATTTTTTTCTCGAAAGTGAGTGGGATTTCAGAGGTATGTGTATTGACCAATAATGATTGTAACTGACCCCTGCAAATAAAAATAATTTTTTTAGAATAATTTGAAATTTTTTAAGTTTTTCGAAAAATTTAACAGCTACTCGAATTTTTTTCTCGTAAGTGCGTAGGATTTCGGGGTTATGTGTATTCACTACAAATGATAGTAATTGACCCCCGCAACCGAGAATAATTTTTCCAGAACGATGTGTTTGATTTTTCGTCGAAAAATTTAGGCACCTATCTGAATTTTTTTTCTCGAAAATCCATAGGATTTCGGTGGTATGTCGATTCACGAAAAGTGATTGTAATGAACCCCCGCAACCGAAAATAATTTTTCCGTGAACGATTTGGAATTTTTTAATTTGGCTTTTTAATAACTTTTTAACGAAGCCTCAATCAAGAAATTGATATTCTTAATTTTCGTCTTATTTTGGCCTCCAGAATCATCTGCAATATGAATGTAGTTGATACCACGTTCAGAGATAAAAATACACTATGACATCAGCCACAGCCTTGAGGTCACAGAAATATATAGAAAATGCCCAGAAATATCTAAAAGAAACCAACGTCCACCACGAAATATAACCACATTAGAAGAAGAGAACCCAGCACCAAGTCGTCGCTAATGGTAGATGCGACGTAAAACAGGAATTAAAAAAAAAGAAAAAGAAGGAACTCGAGGTACCTCGCTAGAATTTTCGCGAATCATCGCGAAAGTAATAAAGGGTGGAACTCGATCACTGTCATAAAAGTATGGTCAATGCTAGGTTGAAATAGCAATTGAAAACTAAATCATTTCTGAAACGAAGTTATCTCGCAGTCCATTCCAACGAACGCTTGTACGAATACCTCAGATATTAGTTCGTAACAAAATTCTCGTGCAGCAACTTTTCCAATAAAAACTTCGGACATCATTCAAATTAACCCCTCAAACGAAATCCATTTATTCAATATCTTGGTGAATTTCATAGCTCGCGAGGCGCCCGCTTTCGAATTCTTTCGCTTTCAGATTTACGTAAATATAAACCTCGGTGCACGATTGATCAACGAAATTCGTTACGCGATTTCTGCGAAAAGAAACGCGTGCTATCGAACATACCAGAATATTTTTACAGTTACATTTTATTTTACATATATATAACATCGTTCCTCCCGTAGAAAACTATGTTACACGAAGCAGCTGCATGAACGATGCTACTATCGATTAGACTATTCTGTTTGGTGTTTCGTACGTTTCGTTGCTATCGAAGCTGGAACTGAAAATTGATAGGATTAACGATACCCGATAGTCTTGCTTGTGGAGACGTCCCACCCTTCATAATATTCTCTGTTGATGTGGTATGCTCTGTTTAGACGATATCCGTGCTCGATTTTCATACTGCTTGCTATGCAATATCTGTTGCAACCCAACGTAAACCAACGCGACCGATTCGTGACGCAATCTAAACTAACATCTTTAAAACGCTTGCAATAAACGAACCTTGCTTGCAAATTTTATAAATAACGTCACTGACGTTAGAAATACTATAAAATAGTGCCTCTGAACTATGAAATAATTTTATTTGTTGTGGTATGATTTGAAAAAATGTCAAGGATACTTCTAAACAAAGAAAACTGACACATTCGCTGCTAGATGAAAACTGTTCAATTCTCTACTAGTGTATAATTTTATTTCGCTATTTATTTTTGTAACCTTGCTAAAATTCATAAATCCTCTCCAAATTTATTTCCCTCAACGACTCCGTTTGAAACGCGGCGAAAATACTTGAAAATACAATTTCTCGATGTAACCTAAGTTTGTTGATTTTCTATAAATTGCTGAAATCAAAAAACATCTTCTCTATCCATTAATTTTTTTAATAACATCGCAATGTTTTTATATACATTCTATACATGCGTTATCGAGCATCCGTAAACAAAGTGTACGAATATTTTTTACATCAGCCTCAAAGAGATTTTAAATAGAATTTCGAAATTTTTTGAGCAAATTTATGCTCAATTTGATAAGAAAAATTGATACAACGCACGTTTAATTTGGCCCGACACTTTTGACCCCTCCGTTCGTTTATACCCCTTGTTAAAGAACGTTCGTGAAAATATTTCCATCCCCCGTAAGAGCTCGAGATCCGAAAAGCATAATGCTCCTAGAGACAATTCGCGATCATCCCCTAACTCCGGGGTCTGACGCTGTGGGTATCCAAAATTCAGCTCGCGGCCGTCGTCGTGAAAGACGAAGACAAAGGGGAAGAAAAAGAGGAAGAGCATCACGCGGCTCATTGCTGGGAGATTTGGAGAAAAGCGGAGCGAGATTGCTGGGAAATCCTCGGGAACATTACCGAATCGGTACGCGTGCTTGTATGCGTGTTACACGGGCACACGGAGGAAAACAAAGAAGAAAGGGATCCTATGAATTCGTGAGTGACTTCGGATATCACGTTTGCCGGCGTCTGGCAGACATTTCCTTCGGGCTTCCGGTGTGCATACGTGGCCGGGCGCGGCGACACACGCGCGCGCGCGCGCGCTAACAGGAAACATCAGAAGTTTAAAAACGAGATTCGCTGCTGTATGTACAAACTCGGCATCACGGAACGTAAATTCCGGCGAGCGATTATCTACATAATGGCCGAGCGTTGCGCGGTCAGAAAATTTATTCGCCCGACTTCCCGATGAAAATTCATACCCAACCGTGGCCGTTTGCGAAAATATTCTTTCCCGTTTCTACGAAAACGTTTCTCCAAAATGACGTCAATTATTACATTTTTTTTTGACTCGAAGATTGATTAAAAAATATCGATCTTTCTCAATTTCGTTTTCTGAGAGTGTTCGACACAAGCGCACTCTACGAATCGATGATCAAACTTTAACACTTTGACTGCCACGTCACCCATATATGGTTGACAGGATTTACCATTATGATACTAGATAAATTAATTCTCAAGTTAAGACGTGGAGGGAAATAAATTTGAATAGAGTTTGTGAATTTTAACAAGGTTACGTAAATAAGTACCGAAACAAATTTTAGGTTATGTAGCTTACAATGGTCCAAAATCAAAATTTTACTTGTGCAGAATATTATACGGTTTTAATCTGGCAGTGAACGTGTTAAGGGGGGAGTCTCATGCGAATGATGGAAAATTGAACCATTTTAACCATGTTACATCTGACGTTATGAATCATTTTTGTAGTTTACTTAGCTATTCTTTGGGAATACAAAATAATTTTTATTAACTTTTAATGTTGTTATCACGTTCGCAGTGAACATGTGTTTAAATACTGGCGTTAGGTGATTGCAGCCCTCAAGGTTGACTAAATCAAAATGATCGAAAAGATTTTTATTCGGTAGGTTTACAGTTATCGCTCAAATAATCAATTTATATTGCAAATTGACAAAATGGTGAAAGCTCAAGGTAAACATTGCAAAATTTCGTCGTTTCTTTCGCAACTTTTTAATAAAAAAAATATGATAAACTCATTATAACGATTTGATTTTGGCACGGGTGAGAACTATTAGTATGTTGAGTAACGTGTACAAAGTTCAAAGCAATCGAACGTTTAGGTTTTTAGATTTTATCTACGACAGTTAAGAAAGTCGGAAACGCATTTAAAGTCTGCAAGATCATACTAATCCAGAATGTTGGTACCCAGATGGCACAAACGCTAAAAATGTTCTATAATCCACAATACTTGACATTTATCTCTCAAAATTTAACAGTACATTCTTAAATATATATACTCTCAAAAAATGGAATAAAAAAAAGAATTGATTTCTTTGAAGTCTCACATGGGGCACCCTCCTTAATCAAATTATACAGTCAGGGACAAAAGTAAGTGGACAAATGATGAAAAAGAATATCAATAAAATTTAACCAATTCAGCATTGCAAATACACGTTTAAGCTTTAATATTCATCCTTATTGTTATCGAGATGTTTCACATTTCCATTCTTGATACTAACAAATTAAGAATCACAAAATTTTTGGAAGTCTTCATGACGAAGCTTACACCGATTATTAATATTTATTTTAAATATTATTTGAATAATCTATATACTATAAAGATAAATGTTAAATAAAGTTTAAACCTGTAATTACGATGAAACATTTCATTGATATTCGTTTTCATCATCTGTCCACTTACTTTTGTCCATAACTGCATATTAGTGCAAGCGTCGCGTTGTTAATAATTTACGGTTATTTCTCCAATTATTCACAAGTCATTTAAGACTACACTTCGTTGAAAATATTTTTGGAAATCTTTATTTAATTTACATTAATTCGTATTTAAATTATTCGCAGAAATATCGTTTCGTTTGAATAATTTTATCCTGAATTAAAATAGTATTAAATTGATGCGTGGGAAAATATTGCGACGAATTCGTCTCTGTTAATTTTTGCAATGGGTCGTTCATGAAACGTTTGAAAACTATTGTGTTATGCTCTCCATTCGTCGTTATTGCAAAGAACAAAATAGGCTGAACAATTACGAGATACGCTTTATAATTTCATAGCTCGCGAACGATAATAAAGTAAGCAATTACGAGACGTCTCTCTGAAATTTTCACGGCTCGGTGAAAATGTGAAAATAGGGCAAACGATTGTATGACGCACTTCGCAATCCCGCGGCTCGCTAAAGTAAGAAATGGGGCAAACGATTGTTCGTTGCGTTAGACGCGTTATTAGTCGCGTACCATGATTTTCCAGTGGCAATCGAAAAAAGTGGCCGTATTTCGCGGAAAATTAAATTCGTATATTGCACTACGGAACGGCGGAACGTCGAAGATTTAATTTCCAACGGAAAATGATCGCTATGGTACTCACTTTTTTTCATCCAATAGTTAGTCGGTCGTCCAGAAACAAACACTTCTATTTTCGGGACGTATCTCGGGATAGATAGTGCTCATTGATGTTTTCTGAAACAAAGGTAAAGCGAAAAATTCGTTAGATAAACAATATCGCATTCGGAGTAATAATTTAATCAAAAACATCGCGAAGATAAAAATGGTTGTCCAAGAAATAAATTTAAATAACCTCGAATGTACAAATTCCAGATACACCCAAGTACTTCGTACGCCAATGGAACAAATTTGTTGGATAAACAAACTCGTATTGGGAATAATAATTTAATTAAACATCGCGAAGAGATAAATGTCTGTCCAAGAAATAAATTTAAATAACCGCGAATGTTCAAATTCCAGATACACCCAAGTACTTTGTACACCAATGGACCAACTTTGATAGATAAAAATTCGTTGGATAAACAAAATCGCATTGGAAAGTAATAATTTAATTAAACATGGCGAAGATATAAATGGTTGTCTAAGAAATAAATTTAAATAACCTGGAATGTTCGAATTCTAGATATACTTAAGTACTTCGTAAGCCAATGGAGCAACTTCTTACGCGAGTAATATTCACAAAAATACTAATTCCAGGAGGACTTACTGATTTTAGGAAATTCCACGTCTTCGAAATTCCTATGTTGATTTTATTCCAGCCTTTCTGCGAAACCCCAATATTAGCCCAAGTCTTCTTAGAAGTCTCCAGCCGAGGGCGTACTTAGTCGACAGAAGATTCGCTTTCGTGATAATAAAAAGAAAAACTGGTGATAAACAGTGACTCGCCTAGTTTCCGCGCAAAAAATAGTGTACAATATTCGCCTCGTTTCGCTCCACTTTTTCTTAAATGCGTCACCGGGATCAATAAAGCGTTAACTTTTTTTTAAAGACAACGTAAGTGGATGGTAAACAAGAAGTAATAATAGACGATAAACATAAAGGAGATCTCAGATAAAAATATTAATGCAACATCCATCATCTGTATAAAAGAAATGCCAATTGTTTTGTTATTGCCTTGTGATTTTTGTTCAACCAAAGTCAGCTTACATTCGCATTTTTTTCTGTAATATTTTTACTGTGTCCTTCGAACTTAAGATTTTTTATATTCATTGTTTTGTGCGGTACTGAAGTTATGAATCTATGGGACTAATAATTGACACATTAAACGAAGAAAAAGATCGAAAGACAGAGCGGAGGAGATAATAGAATGCAATATGGAGGGGATGATGCCTTGAGCGGCTAAATTTGTTTGCCTCGAGAGGAGTGGCCTGCATTGGCAAACGCTCGAGGCGCCTTTATCGACTGAGGGCATACTTAACAGTCAACTTCCTAGAGAAGTGAGCTTTGTTAACGTTCTTGGAGGAGCTCAACTGTTTATAATAACTAGAGTACGTTGAAATTATCCGATTGCCTGTACACACTTCCGATGGTATTATATTTTATAATCTTCTGTTGTAGAAATAGACTTATTTCGTGTAGGTGAATATCCATGCTTGAAAATTTACGTTGAAATGCCGGTTTCTCACGCGAATATGAAATAAAATCTGATTATTAAGTCAAAGTACATATTAACCCTCATACGTTTAATTTTTCATTCGTTACAGATTACAGGAAATTTTATTGCATTCGAAGAAAGTAAATACTTTTCCGGGGAAATGACAGGTTAATTAAATTAGTTCTGTAAATCCAGCCGGAGAACTTGTTAGTTTTTGCAGGTTTGCAACCCTTTGACGTACGATTTAATTCCAAATAATTTTTCAAACGTATAATATTTAATTTCGTTTAAATTAGCTCGGGCAAGAAATGGCTACGTATAAAATACGCTCGTGAATATAAAAATGATCAGACTCGTAGAGGGTTAAAGACATTTTGATCGATTCTTTTAAAGTAATTTTGTCGACGATGCAACGAGTATCCATCGATTCTCTTTTCCTACGGTCTTTGGCGCCGTATCATGGTTACTTTCTCAAACAACAGGATCACGCTTCCCCAAACGCCACGGTCGTTTCGTAGATACAACACACGCACGTCCACGCATACCAAACAATCCAACACACCCTCAGACACGCCAGTCAATGGATGAGAAGGGTGTCCAGCTCCTGCCCGCCGTTTAGGATTGAATAAATCGGCCCTTCTGTTATGCTTATATCACGATTTTCTGACATACGTCCGCGTAGGACCGCCATTGAAGCGAACCCCACGTTGGGGGACTCGCGTCGGGTGAATTTTTCGGAACAGGAACAGGGATCCCTCTTTCCTTTCCAGAATGTATTTTTATGGTCGTCGAGGGCTGTTTATCTCGAGACTCGAAGGAGACCTGACTTTTCGCGATTAGATCCCCAGATGGTGGACAGCGACGTAAGTTACACGCGTGAGAACTCGTCGAGTACTCTTGCACTTGTGGAAAATATTTATCCTCGATCGAGGATTGTCAGTTTTGTTCTACAGGATTAATTTGCAACTGAATACTTTTATGGAATAAAGAAAGGTCACGAACTGGTTCGACCGCGATTTTAATGTGCTTTCGCAAAATGGTAGTAGAGTGATCCCTGTTGGCGTAAAATATTATTATAAATAATAAGCTAGCTCTGTATAATCTCATCGACTATTCACACGATGTCTCGTAAAATTGGATATCAATTCGGTTCAGGAGAATAGACTTCATCAAGGTATAATGACGCTCGCATACTACAGTGTCAATCTGTTACAATTCATTCTATTTTATTCTACATGTGAGCGTCATTATAACCTCGCGAAGGAAATTCTACTAAATGTTACAATATTGCAACATCAATAACCACCTATTAGGCACATGCTTTGTTCGAATAAAAAAATACACAGAAACTTCTGAACTGAGTTGATATTAAATTTCACGAGACAGCCTGCGAATAGTCGTTGGAGTTATAGAGAGCTAACTTATTATTCATATTTTGAAAAATGTTGAGCAAAATCTGCAAAATCGTATTAAAATCGACGTTAGACGGTTCGTGTCCTTCCCTTGCAAATAGTTGAACCTTTATTCGAATAATGAATTTAACTTTTTATACCTGTAATCTAGATGCTTGTATCCCGCAGTAACTATAATATTTCAGAAGTTATGACTAAGAGTGCGTTCGAATGAGTTTCATGAGCCACGGAGTAATAACTATACCGCGGATGTTTATGTCAATAAAATATGTCAGGAATATGCAAAATATATTCAAAATGTGTTCGAATAATTGTATTACTTAAACATAATAATAATCAATTATAATTTTAATTACAATGTATTACGAATATTTTTTCGATATTGCAAAGAGTCAGTTGATGACATTTATTACTTCAAGTCAATTTATAGGCAAACGAACAAGATGTGATTGGGAAATATTTGACAGTGAAGCAAAAGAAAGACTAATGGGACGCCAATTAAGGAGACATTACAACATTACAATTCAAAATTCAAAACAACATCCTTTAACAATATGACTTCATAAAATTCGTTTCTGTAGAACCAATCGTTGTCAACAGATCGGCGGAATATTTAAATAAGAACACGGTCAAACTTGCACGAAAATAAATAACAATTGCTAAGTGTAACGAGATTCGAGCATCGCGGCTCATTATGCAATCTTAACAACACTCGACAGAATTCAGACAAAGCCCGGATACGCGAAGCGTTTCAAACGAAGGTAACGAACGAACCGTTCGAACGTTCGAAGTAAACAAAGGAGAGAACGCGGGTCAAAGAGCCGCCATTGTCTACAGTTCTCCAAGTCACAAAGACTTTGTAACCAAATCGATCCGGTTATTTTATAATCAAAGATCGCGCGGCTGTTCGTACCGGGAAGGCGTAAACGAACCTGTCGGAGTTTTCTAACCAATTAACCCCTCGACAGCCTCTTCCTGAATCCAATATGGCCGACGCCGGCGGGCGCTCGGGACACGCGCGGTTTTTCCCGCGCGTAGTAAAACGGTACGCTGCCGATGACAGCGATTACACGCGGAATAATAGCGCCCGTAAAGAGATCTGGACCCGATGTAATGAAATTCGCGCGATACACCGGGCAAGAGCCAGGTTTATTCAATATAATAGAATCGATCATACCCGGGACGAGCTGTTCGGTCAACGTAAATCCGCGTCGGGCAGATTACCGTGGCTGGCATTACGACATACGCGTGTATGCAATATTTACGCCTCGTTAAACGCGTAATTTCAAATCGTTCATGGAATCCGCGTCATATGTTATTGATAACTGCGCCGCGTTCGGGCGGCTCTTGAATAATGCTCGGATTACGTGGTCTAAACTAAAGCAAACGTCGAATAATTAACAAGACTGTGCTTTGAGGGCCCCGACGCGTTGCGGGCGCGGCCGTTGAACACCTAGCACACCCGCGAGCGTTACGCTTCGGCCTCATTAACTATACAACTTCCAGTCTCTTTGACGCGGCGCGAGGAGATTGATGAACCGAGTGCCGGCCGATTAGAGACGATGATTAAGATTCCCAGACGCATGTGTGCACTCGACGCGTGGATCTCTCCGTCACCGGTGCTCCTTCTTTTTTTCTTCTTCTTCTTCTTCCCAAACTTAAACGAGCCTCTGATTAATGGATCGACGACGCCGCGATCCTTGGAACGCTTTTACAATCTAATTTTAATTCCATCGAAAGGTTTTAAAATCGCTGTTAATTGGTGTTACTGGACTGCGGTTGTTTATGCAAATACACGGGCCCGCGGAAGTATTGGTGTTAGGGGTTCTAAGGGAACCTTAACATCGCGGGGTTTGTGATACGGACGTGACTTCTGCGCTATTTTTGAGAATTAGGCCTTCGGGACATTTTTACTTGAGAAATTGGGATACGGTCATTAAGGAACCTCCTGAATCCATACGGGACTTGGAATCCTTGGAGCTCTTCCTTATTATTCTTATAAAGAAGGAAAGAACTCAATTGTGTTTTAACTAGGAATTCTTATAAAGAAGAAAAGTACACAATTGTGTTTTAACTAGGAATTCTTATAAAGAAGAAAAGAACTCAATTGTGTTTTAACTAGGAATTTTTATAAGGAAGAATTCTTTTAAAGAAGAAAAGAATTTAAT